GTGATGTGTTGACTACAGAAGCCGATAACAAAACTGTAAGTCTTTAATTTTCTTTCGTTTTTCGTATTCAAATGTAGCTGGCGACTTGCGTTGTTGTCGATACTTTAATTGTGGAGAAGGATTTTTCAATCCATAAACTTAGTTACGAGAACGGCGTTTTTAAAATTTAATGATAAAACAGGACACTCCAGCATCCCCTTAACCTAGTGGTCATGTTTCGCTAGGCTTTGTCTTAATCGCCTGGGTCACAAGGAAGGCAACTTTTATAGAAAATGCTCCCTAACTCAAATTATGTTGCGTGACTGAGGATGGAAGTTCAATCGAATTCGGCCGATCTCAGGGCACCTGGAACCCCCTGTATAGAGCCTTCTCCCCCCGGATAGGGCTTAGCATCTCCCCCGGGGGGGGGGGGATGACATAAATTTCATCCCTGCTCGGAACAACCTGTTGGGAACAACAATGAGGGATTCCCAATGAGGGAAAATAAAAATAAAATCAATATAAACAATAATGAAAAAAATAAAAAAAAAAAGGAAAAAAAAAGAAAAGAAGAGAAACGGCGCACTAAGGGCGGTATCGCCCAGTGCGATGGAGATTGAGAGTGAAGCATGCGAAAGCGTGAGAATGATTAAGAAGAGGAAGATTGGAAGATTAGTGATGACAGTCGTGAGAATAAGACGAATGAATGTGTGATGAGGTGAAAAAGATTGGTGAGCAATTGAGGACATTTATACTGGGTGAGAATATGAAAATGAGCAAATCTACGTGTGAAGTTATAATGAGTAGGATTGGTGAATATGATTGGTGAATATGAATGTGTCCTGAGTAAATTGTCATGTGAAAATGAGAGATCGAAAAGTGTCTTGGCTGTGTATAAAAGGATAAGTGTGTCTAGTTTTGCAAGTGGTGGTAATCAAATGTAAATCAATCAAGTGAGAGTATGAAATTTAAGCTTGATGCGAAAGCGTCTGAGAAAAAAAAAGTACTGGTAAAAAGTATGGATGAGAAAATGAATAGCGAACAGGTAAAAAAGAATTTGATGAAACATGTGAAACTGGATTTGAATATACGGGTGAAAGCGGTACAGAAGACTAGGAATAGTGTGGTGATTGAAACTGCAAGTGAAAAGACGAGAAAGACTGTGTGAAAGTAAGCGGTATGAAAATGTGGGTTCGATTCAGTTGCCCCGGAAGATAGGCTCGAAGGTGATGTTGTTTGATGTTCCGAATGAAATGGGCGAGAAAGAATTTCTGAAGTGTATGTCGAAGAATGAGTTTGGAGAACGTGTGAGAATAGTGAAATAGTGGAAAGAAGGATGCGGCTTTTGGAAATATTGTGATGGAAGTAAGAGTGTATGTGATAAATTAATATGTGAGGATGTATATAGAATGAAGTGTTTTCAAAGTAAAAGTGTATGAAAGTGTGTTCCGATGCTCGTACGGATATGAGTAAAGAGTGCAAAATGGAAAAGATATGTAGAACATGTGAGAAGAGTCATATGGCGAAAGATGATAGGAAGAAGGAATGTTGTAGACATTGCTTACGGACAGGACAGCCTTCGAGTTACTTTGTACTAGCGAGAAAGTGCCCGAAGTATGTGAGTGTTGAAACGTATGAGAAAACATATCGTTCTCTACTAATAAGAGGATTAATATATTGCAGGCTAATAAGAGGATTAATGTACAGGTATTGCAGTTGAACTGTTAGAATGCTTATGATTTGATGTGTAATTTTGGGAAAGAGAGTGATATAGTGAAAGAGAAAGGTGTGAATGTATTGGCATTGTAAGAGCCATATGTGTCGAATGAACGTGTGTGTGAATTGTCAAATGAGATGCGCGTATATATGAAGGATGGAGGTAGCAAAGCGACAATTATAGTGAATGATAATACATATGGTTAATGTGATGAGTGTGGCAGGTTGTATGGAGGAGCATAGAGTGTGTGTATGGATGAAAGTGGAAAGTTATGAGATGTATGTGTACTCTGTGTATTATCAGTTTAGTATGCCTATGAAATCTATGATTGAGTATATGAGGAAAGTTGTGAATGTAGTGAGGGAGAAGCCCCTTCCGATGTGTATGGATGGAAACGCTGTGTCGAATGCATTGTTCAGCAAGTATGTGGGTAGAAATAGAGTGAGTGAATTGAGAAGTGAAAAAATTATTGAATTTATATCTGAATGTGAGTAGCATATCTATGTATATTCTAAGCCATGGGGCAAGCCACGGGGTGAGGGGCCGGGGGGAAAACTGGGCGAGAGGGGTAC